CTAAAGCTCTGCTGGGCCACTAAAGCTCTGCTGAGTCACTAAAGCTCTGCTGGGTCACTAAAGCTCTGCTGGGCCACTAAAGCTCTGCTGAGTCACTAAAGCTCTGCTGGGTCACTAAAGCTCTGCTGGGCCACTAAAGCTCTGCTGAGTCACTAAAGCTCTGCTGGGCCACTAAAGCTCTGCTGAGTCACTAAAGCTCTGCTGGGTCACTAAAGTTCTGCTGAGCCACTAAAGTTCTGCTGAGTCACTAAAGCTCTGCTGGAAACCATCAGGCTTTCTTCTGTTGCTCCACCACCCGGCTGACGAATGGGACCAGTAGGAAAGTGAAACGGTTCGGTTGAGCAACTTCAGGCTGTTGTTTTGAAACGAGTCACGGAGTTGTTGTCGTAACCCCGGAGCAGGCCAGGAAGCTGTGAGGCAACTTTCTCCTGAGCGTGTCGCTACTGGCAGCGTGCAGGATTCGAGCTCAGGAGCGAGGAGAGAGATCGTGTCGATGCGTGAAGAACGCTCACCTCTCCAGCCACTTCCACTGCAGGAACCGGTTGAAGAACATGCTGTCGAGGTAGTCCGCGAACGGCGCCACGCTCAGGTAGTCGTGGATCAATCTGGAGACAAAATTWAATAAAAAACATCTGCAGGTTAAAACAAGCCACGATTGTTTCACCGTCATGACATTTTTGTCTTAATTTTCCAGAAGTCAGTAAAAGATTAACTTTACAAGTAAAACCCTCCTGACCCAAATATTACTGGTTAATGTTTACCAATTAATCATTTAAATGAGCTTCAGTCTAATAATGATTACTTCTTTAATCTTTTTCTAATTGTTACGACTGAATTAGTTATTTTTTGCAAAAATAATTTAATTTCTGGCCCCAAACTAAGGTTTCATGACCCATATTGGGGTACCAAGTCCAGCACTGAGAACCACACTGAGGACTGGATCACCATGGACCCTTCATAGGGGGGTCGGACTCAGTTTTAGGGGGTGAGGAGCTCAGAACTCCTCTAGAGTCTTCTGAGGTGGTTCACCTGGTCAGGACGCCTTCCTTTGGAGGTTTTAGGCAAGTCCCACTGGGAGGAGACCCAGGGGCAGACCCCTTAGAGTCCCACAGGAGGAGACCCAGGGGCAGACCCCTTAGAGTCCCACAGGAGGAGACCCAGGGGCAGACCCCTTAGAGTCCCACAGGAGGAGACCCAGGGGCAGACCCCTTAGAGTCCCACAGGAGGAGACCCAGGGGCAGACCCCTTAGAGTCCCACAGGAGGAGCTGGAGAGGGTCTCTGAGGACAGGGAGGTCTGGGTTTCTCTTCTGAAGGTCATTGGGGTCTTTGTTGGTCCGGTCTGCAAGATTTTCTTTTAAGGAAATTTATGTAAAACTTAAAACTGAATTGGACCCTAATGACCCTCAGGAGGGAGGGGAGGGAGTGATCTGTGGAGAAATTGATTGAAAAATATACTTTATTTATTAAAACCTGCAGGATTCACGGTGACCTGGACCTTCATATCCGGTTCAAAAACACGATCTGATTCTTCAAACTTAAATCGATTAGTAAATCTTGTGAATAAGATTCATGTGAACCGGTCAGAAAACACAAAAACTGATTTAATAAAATGTTATAATCATTGGTCTGAGTTAGGAAACGTTCCGAGTCATGGGACGAGGCGAGGAGGAGAAATGAGAAAAAAAAAAAAAACAAATATTGAGGCCAAATATTCCTGTTTGAGGAGAACCGTTAGAGAAAATTACTCAATGTTTTTATAACGATGACATTCATGAACAGCAGGAATCCCTTGTTTTATCTCCGTCTGAAGCGTTTTTGTTTGTTTCTCTCTGATCTGATTATTCTTATTTATCGCCTCTTTAAGCAAACCTGCTTTTTATCAGATCTCAGCTCCACAAACCCATAAAATCCAGATGTTATCATGTGATATGTGTGATTTTTATTCAACATTCCCTCTAGACGTCGGCCATTTTTCTTTTTATCTGCTCTGGAAATAGAACGGACCGCCCCGGAGCGGTGCGGATCCTCGGAAACATAAAAATGAGACTTTATTCCTTTTGTTTGTTTGTTTGTTGTTTTTTTAAACAGAGGAGATTATAAAAAGAGTTGTTTTAAAACGGAGGAAACAAATTTCCGGTCCACAGCGATATCGTCCAGATTCCAGAKCCTCGACTCCGTCCTCCAATAAAACCTCCAGAACGAGGCGTGTTTTCAGCTTCACAACGACGGATCGCATCAACTTCATCATTAATCCAGTCCCACCTGATCCCACCGTCAACAATAAATAATAATATATAATTGTGTGAATGCCTCTAGCATTCACACTATTGTTTTCGTGTTTCTCTTTATTCTTTATTATTCCAGTTTCTTCCGTACGTTTTTTGGACCGCTTCTCCTTCCACAATTTTTGTGGTATTTAAACCGTTCAAATATCAAAATGTTCATCTCCTTTAGGACATTCTGGCTATGACTTTGATTCAAGATTCAATTTACTTGAATCTTGAATCTTGAACACTCTCTGGAGCACCTGAGTGTTTCGAGCCATCCCGTCACATTTACAGAACTCTAAGCCCCGCCCCCTCCGTGGGACCTTACTTGGTGCAGTCCTTGAAGAGCTCCTTGCAGGCCTCGTGCTGCAGCCTCTCTGCACACTGAGCCATCATGGCCTCCTCCACCTCCGACACGTAGTCCTCCGACTGTGGGGAGCAAGAGAAACCGATGAAAAGGTGACGTAACACCAACAGGTTCCAGACGGAGCGGGATCGACCAGCAGAGCTCTGCAGACTCCTGCCTGTCAGGACCTGCTCAGGAAACGCTGATCCAAAACAGAAATGTTCAGCAGAAAACTGGCACTTGGACCAGATCAGAGCCGAGCAGGGTTCACAAGAAAACACATTTAAAGCAAACACTGGGCACTTCTGCTGTAAAATAAATGCAATAGAAGCTAAAATCAAATCCTGTGAACATAAAAACAAATCAAAACGTTTCCAGCAGCARCTCTACCGTTGGGTTGAGGTATTTATTGACGAGCTCCTGGCCGCAGTCCTTCCTCTTCTCATCAGGAGTCACTTCGTAATCCACCTGAAAACAAACAATAAAAACACAAAAGTCAGAAAGTTTCTAAATCAGCTAATTTATTGATTTAAACAATAAAAAAAAAACATTTGAGTTAAAATAAACGTGGATCTAGAGAAAACCCATTTTTTTAACAGCAGGTCAAAACATCAAGTATTATCAACTACAAAATATTATTAACATTACTGATACATAGTGTGGTGTACACACAAAGTATACGTGGTATACGTAGTGGTCGACTGTTATTTTAAAAACTCTTGTATATATTTACCTACACAGGTATTTTTGTACCTACACGTGTCCCGGATGTACCTAAATGGGTACTTTTGTACCTACACAGGTACTTTAGTACTTTCATGGATCACATATATACTTTCAAAGGTACCTTTGTACGTACACAGGTCCTGTATGTATCTACATGAGTACGTTTATATGTACACAGGTCCTGTATGTATCTACATGAGTACGTTTATACTACCCAGGTCCTGTATGTATCTACATGAGTACGTTTATATGTACACAGGTCCTGTACGTATCTACATGAGTACTTTTATATGTACACAGGTCCTGTATGTATCTACATGAGTACTTTTATATGTACACAGGTCCTGTATGTATCTACATGAGTACTTTTATATGTACACAGGTCCTGTATGTATCTACATAAGTACTTTTATATGTAAAAGTTAAAAGGGGCATGGAAATTTCTCTTTTTTGTATCGAAAAAATATCAAACCGTGAGACTAAAGTATCGAACCGAACCGTGAATTTTCTGTATCGTTGCACCCCTAGTACACAGGTCCAATATGTATCTACATGAGTACTTTTATACCTTTACAGGTTCTCTTTGTAACTAAATAGATACTTTTCTATCTACACGGGTTGTACTTACATGGGTCCTGCATATACTTTCAAAGGTACTTTTAGACATATACAGGGCCTATATGTACCTAAATGGGTTCTAATTGTGCTTTCTAAGGTACTTTGGTACCTTCGTAAGTCCCTTATGTACCTACATGGGTACTTTTATACGTACACCGGTCCTAAATGTACTTTCTAAGGTACTTTTGTACCCACATATGTCCCTTATGTACCTACATGAGTACTTTTATACCTTCACACGTCACTTATGAGTAATTTTATTCCTTCACAGTTCTTATGTACCTACATGAGTACTTTTATATGTACACAGGTCCTGTATGTACCTAAATGGGTTCTTAATGTACTTTCGAAGGTACTTTTGTGTCTCCATAAGTCCATTATGTACCTACATGAGTACTTTTATAGTACTCTTGTCTGTAGGATTGTAATTTAAAAAGCCCAGATGACACAGAGAGCTGTTTCTGCAGCTGCTCCTCCACATTATGAAACCCCAAACTTGGAAAAACCTGACATAAACTTGGTTTATATTCTGTGTCACAGACGCTGACAAACACACAGTCACGTGTGAAAGTCTTTTATTTTGGCGTAACCTGCCACCAAGATCAATTCCCCGGGGAAACACTGCAGGATGGTGTGAGCTGAAGCACCAACCCTAAAAATAAGATGAAGTTTAGCTTTTTCTTCTGACTGAAACCATACGTGTATTTATTATTTAAAGACACCCCACAGAGAAACAAAACAATAAAATAACCAAAAAGAGAAAATTCTTTCAACAGATTCACACAAAAGAAAATCTGCTCCAAACGTACAGGAAGTGCGAGCTGAAACAAGCATGTGGTTTTACTTCTGCTCCTCTGCAGGTGATTCACATGTCTGAGCTCGGGGGCTCTGGCTCAAGTGATCCTTCTCCTCTTTCATTAAGTCCTATTTTCCATAAGACAGCTTCCTCCTCAACAGCTCGACCCAGGAGGGCCGGAAGGAAAACACATTTCTGTCACACTAACCCTGTGTGTTGTGTTTCTGACGGCAAATCAGGGCCTTTTTTTGTGTGGCGGGGGACTGAAACTAAAACCCTCAGTTCTCTGAAACGGTTAAACCTTCCTGGGAACCCTCACTGACATCAGATCTACTGAAACCTGATTTTAAACATAAAACAAAAAGCAGCCCCTTCCGGCAGAGAGACGAGCGCTCTCCTTACCACGGCGTCCAGGAACTTCACGCAGCGTTTCAGCTCGGGTCGGGTCTCGCAGAACTGCCTGAAGAGTAACCGACCGATGGGCTGCCGTTCACACAGGCTGCTGTAGTCCTTATCTGCAAGAACACAGGAAGAACCGAGCGTCAAAACGAAAATAAATCACTGAAGCTGCTTTTTTATATCGACGAGCGTCACAAAAACCACCCATGTACCAAAAAAAAAAAAACAACCTCATTTGATATCTTTAAGAAAGAAAACAAAAAATGGGAAAATGAAAGTCAGTTTATTCAGGGTTCTGTTCGGCTCTTTGAAGGTCTCAAAACAGGGTTTCAATCAGGCTGAGGTTCAGGAAAATCATTACAAAACCTTGGTTTACTGTCTTTTTGACCCGTTCTGTTGTAGATCAGCTGCTGTGTTTGAGATCATTGTCCTGTTGGACCCAGTTTGGTCCAAACCTGCCAGACAGACGGACTCATGTGACTCTAGAACCCTTTAATTTATGGGTCAAAAACAAACAAACTTGCTTCATAAATTGGTAATTATATAAAAATATTGGCATGGATCATTAAAAAAACAAACTGTTCTTTGGTCTTTTAAAGTTTTTCCTCAGATTTAGGTCTAACAGTGTTGTATAAAGTACCACAAAGTGATACTTGAGTAGAAATACAAGTATCTTACCAAAAAATACTTTGGTAAAAGTTAAAGTCTCCTTTAAGAATATTACTTGAGTAAAGGTCTTAAAGTAGCTGATATTTTTTGTACTTAAGTATTGTATAGTAAAATGAGCAGTTAGATATTCTGTAATGACATTTATTACATGATTTGTTTTTGTACAAACTAATACACTATCAGAGTTTTATATATTTTAACTTCTCATTCAACCACAGTTAAATTCACTCTATCTAGGAGGCACAATTTATATGGATAGTATTTATTTTTACAATAACAAGCTAGAATGAAARCAAGCAAAAATGAAATAAAAGTATCAACTTTCTACTTCTTGCCTTTTTAAAAAAAAAGTAGACTGAAAAAATTATTACTCAAGTAAAGTACAGATATCCAAAAATTATACTTAAATACGGTAACAAAGTATTTGTACTTAGTTACTTTACAACTCTGAGGTCTAATAATCTCAACATATTCCCAAAAAGTGCTTTATGAGTATGGTTTTACATATTAACTTCCAGCTAACTCTTTAATTTTGTCCATTTTTTGCCACATTTTGATTCCCAGTGTAATTATCCCTCCGTGTCTTTAAATATTCACGTCTTTGTAAGTGTACGCAAATATTATTAAATATCTATGCAAATGTTTCACATCACTCTCTGTTACACAGTCGACACCGTTGGCCTCCTGCCTCACTGCAGTCCACGGTACTTTACATTTCGATGGGTTTACAGCCTGTTAGACATTTGGTACGACCTGTGTGGACCTGGACTGGCCAAGGAAGACAGAACCAGATCACCACTGACCCAACACCATATAAAAAATGATGTTGACAACAAAAAAGATGCACTGAAATGCAAAGAGTTGTGGAAAACAAAGACGGTAGTGTTCCGCAACAAAGAGGAATCAGATACTTTTCAACATTTTTTAAATATTACACACATAAACAAGGAAGAGTTATCAAATTGATGTTTTCTGCTCTATTTATTATTACATTCCCTGAGGGGGAAAAAAAATCTCATTTTAATCTCAAGTTTGTCCCATCAGCCCATAAATCTCATGAAGTTATTATATGAATCAAAAAGATTAATGTGATTTTACTCATGACAGCTATTTGTACCAAAATGACAACGGCAACAGAAAGGGTCATGGAGTTCCTCAGGGTCGTGTGTTTGGACCAAAATCTTTTCACTTTTTTCATCGCAATTTTTTTGTTTCTACTTGTCCCACAACTTTAATGTCAATGTAAACTTTGAAAATAATAAATAAATTCTTGATTGTGGAAGACTGTACTACGACTTTTGGTAGAACTACATTGTGTGATTTCAAGAATTGATGGGATTCTGGTTTAGAAGAATCCTCTACAGCTCTGACTTCATATTAAAATCATCATCAATAGTTTAAACAGAAGCACAGAATGTTTAACTTTATACGACTGAAGTAGCATTTTGAGAGCTTTGTTTTTTATGCAGTCAGTTTAAAAGTTTTGCTGATTTTTTTTTAGATTTTAACAAAAATCTCAACTCTGTCTAATGACGTCAGGATGTCTTTTCAACCTTGTTTTCTAAACAAACTTTTCTTACGCCCAATGTATATATCAAAAAGTACTGGTAAGTATTTTTGTATTCTTTAACCTGGCATCTCCCTGGTTTTGTTTGGACAACCAGTAAGTTGGAGATGAACCAAGGTTTCTCTTTATGTCACTATTTGCATAACGTTTTATGGGTTTCTCTGTAAATGAAGCATCAAAGCTGAATTCTTCAAATGTTGCTAAAAAATCTCTCATGTCCAAAGTTAGATTAAAAAAAAAAGAAATGCTAAAGAATAACAACAGAAAAAGAAAAACCCAATATTAGGAAAATAACTGTTTCTAAACCAGCAGAATGTGTAATTTTTGAGAAACACTTCAATATTAGGAGGTTTTGAAAATCATTTCTGTTTGCTGTCTGCTCAGCTGCACTTTAAGACCAAAAACGAAGGAAAAAGGGATTTGCATTTGAGACAGATGCAAAGCAGCTAAAGACATTTTACTCACAAATGAAAGTGATTCAGTCAGAACCAAGCAGATTGTTGAGAGAGAGAAAAAAAAACAGAAAATAATCTCCTAAACCTGTGACTCCGATAAGACAATAGTTATCTTTTATAATCCGGCATCCCCAACCTGGAGGGGAGGCCTGCTGGGTTTACAAACCGTTTGTTTCTGAAAACAGGCAAATCAGTTCATTTTTAGAAAAACACGGAGCACAAAAGTAAAAAAAAAAAAGGGGCAAATTTGTGGAAAGAACGGATCTAAGATAAGCAAACACATGATGGAGATAAAATGTATTAATAATAAGAGAACAAAGAAAGAATCATTTAACCCTCCAGGGTTCAATTTAGCCTTATGAACTCTCTTGGGTTCAATTATAAACCTGAAGGTAACCATGTGAACCTTAATGACCTTCATGTTCCTGAGCAGCCATAAAATGGACATGCATGTTCTAAATATGACCCATGAGTACAATAAGGATTTCTTTTCAATATTGAATTATTATTACTTTGTAGTTTTCCGTCTCAAAAGCTTCAAAATGAGTWGTTGTTTGTTAAAATTCGATATTTTTTGGAAACAATTTGTTCGTGGCAGTTTGAAAACTTTTATTTTTATTAGTGTAGAATGAAAGGGACTGTTTCTAAAGACAAACCTGTAAGAAAAATTTGATTATTAAAATTATATCCTGTTTTAGTCACTGGTCTGTTCTCATTTTTATGCAACCTGAACTCATTCTGACTCATAATATTAGAAATGTTAAAGTATAAAGGGTTTTGAAACAAAACTTGTGTAAATGTGTTCATTTTAATTTCATAAAGTTGTAAATATATGTCATAAAAATGACAGAAGAAACTAAATCCTCTCAWTATTTCTCTCGTATCGTTGCGTCGCTAGCAGCCTCTGGTGAAACGTTCTGCCGCTGCTTTTGTTTGTTTTCCTTTTCTTTTCAGGAAGATTTCATTCAAATTCTGAAACTCTGATTTGAATGAGTTTCGTCAAACCCGTTCAGAGACACGGGCAGGAAGTCGGAGAGGCACGAAAACTACAAATGTGTTTGCAGAGGAGACGGTGGCAAACAGGAGGAACTTCAAAATGTTAAAATAAATGATTTCAGTGACAGAAGAGACGCGTTTCCTGTTAGTCACAAACGGGCGTTTCCCTTCTTTTCTTTTCAATTTCATCTCCTGATTTTGTCACAAAAGTCTATCGGGGTGAAACCAACTTTAGTTGTTTCTCAACAGCTTCCTGTTCCTGTGGGGCCACTGAGTTTTGTTCTGCTGTGAGGAAACATCTGATTGTTCAGATCCAGTTGAACCCACAGCTTTTAGAATCAAACCTGAAGCTTCAGGAGCAAAAACTGCTCCTCCTGTCTGGTTATTTTCAGCGACAACAGAGCAAACCGAAAACAGAAAAGATAAAACATAAAACGATTTTGCTGAGCTTGAGAACAACTTCCTGGTTTGCAGAGCAGGAAGTCTGTAAGAAACCACAAACGGGAGCAGATTTAAGTACAAAATATAGTTTTAAATAACAGAAATAGTTGTGTTTATTTTAGATGCAAAGCTTCAATTACCTCAATATCTAAAACCAGCAACCATCTTGAATTGTAAACTGTAGTTCAATATCTTTAAAATATTTCTTTTAATAATTTTAGAAATTTTTAGTTGATATTCTTCGTTATTTTGCCTAAAATAAAACAAAAAAAGCTTCTTTGAATAAAACAGCTTTACTTCAGTTAAGAATGTTTAATCCTATGAATCTTCTGTGAAATATCTCATTTAACCATGTCTCATGTTTTAGGGTTAAACATCATGAGAGTCTGTAAGAGCTGTTAGCTGTCAGGTTTAATAATTTAGCAGCTAAATCACTTTAACTGGAAAACATGTGATAAACTCTGATCCCAAACCCCGTGAAGAGTTTCTGGCTCGTCTGGAGTTTTTTTTTTACACCATCGTTTATAATCAAACAAAACAAGTACGTGTTTGTAAAAGTGGACCCTCCCTCCATCGGCCTACAGATTAAATAAAAATTTGTTAACTTTTCACAGAAAAGTCTTGTGACCTTTTTACTTTTAGTCTTTTTTCYTTTTTGCCTGCAGGTGAAAGTTCTCTAGATCTGAGGAAAATAAAAAACGAGCCTTGGTTTGTTTTCTAAAACAACATTTAAGATGAAAAATAAGATTCAAATTCATTACTACTTATAAACAGGTAAAAATACACAACTTATGATGATGACGGTGGTTTAAGCAACATGTTGGATCAGAACTATGCTTCATATTTTAACTAAAATCATATTTTTTTTACAGTCAAACAATATGGTTATCCTGCTGGACCTTGAGTCTGAAATAAAAGTTCTGTATCCAAGTTGAGGCATACTTTTTAATTTAAATAAATAATTTTTTAAAGATGTGAGATGAGTAGAAAGACAAAAAAAAATAAAAATAAAACAACATTTTAAAAAGCAAAAATGTATTGGTCCTAACACAGGACCCTGAGGGACTCCATGATTGTTTTCTGGTGCTTAAAAACTGGAACCTATTGAATATTATTTTAGSCAGTTGTAAAATGTAGATTTCTAAGTCTCAGCTACAGAACAGAAGTCCAGTTTCTTTTTAAACTGTTCTTACATTTGTTCTGGATTGCTGAGAAATTACACCAACATACATATGATGATAACGGTGGTTTACCAACATGTTGGACTGGATACTTTCACCAAAATCTATTTTTTATCATCACATTGTATTACTACCAAAAACTGAAACAAACTATTCCCAATTTTTAGATTTCATTAGATTTTTTAAAGCTGTGAGACGAATRGAAAGATAAAAACCACAACAGATAAAAAGCAAAAGATTTAGATCCAAACACTCCACCATGAGGAACTCCATGACACTTTTTGGTGCTTTTACAAAACTGTAACAATTCAAAAATGATTTAACCAGGTGTYAAATGTAAAACTAGAGTTTAGCTAAAGAACAGATGTCCAGTTCTTTTTTCAGTATGTTTTAAATTAGTCTTGATGATYGAGAATTTACACCAGCATACCAACACTGATGTCGGAAAACGTTCTGGCTCATCTTTATAAATAAATTTTTAAAAAATTAGGTCCAACTTGTATAAAASCCAAACACAGAAGATCTTATTTTCTCCTGGTTACTAAAAATGGCGCCGCCTCGATGTCGCCGCTCTACACCTCCAGGCAAACAAGATTTATCTCTTCTTCTTCTGCCTCATCTTCCTCAGAACAATCGGTTTTGTGTTGGCTCAGACCTGGTCTCATGGATGAAAACTACGAATAAACCAACACTCAAACACCGTAAAAGAAGGGTTGAATGGCAGCCGAGCTGTAATATTTCACATCGTGCTAACATCACGTTGTTTTGGGTTAAAACACCTGCAGGTGGTGAACTTTGACATCTTGAGCTAGCTGCTAGCTGCCACTTAGTAAAGAAACTGACAGCTTGCTTGAAACTAATTAATTTGCTAAACCTTTTGGGAAAGAGTTGTAAAGATTTTCTCATGCTCTGAGTCATGTTTTCAGAGCAGGCTGGTTTCAGAAACAGAAATGGATTCCTGACATGTTTTAAAATGTTTCTGCAGGTTGAAAGAACAAAAACAGCTTCTGCTTCTTTCTGCAAAACCCACAGTTTCCTCTGATGTGTGAGATGAGTTTTTTTTTTAGTCTCGCTGCAGATTAACTCTGAATGAGATGAACTGCTGAGTTGTGGAGGATTTTATGAGCCTCAGCTAACAGCTGTTTAAGAATCACCTCAGTGGAGCTAAAATCCAATTTTCTGTCTGATAAGAGTGTTATTTTTAGTATTTTTTAAAGATTTAACTAACCAAAAAAAAAAAAAAAAAAAAA